TTTTATTGTTTAAAAATCCATCCCTGGTCTGTGTGACTTATTATAGGGAATGGTTGGTGGCAGCTTAGTGTAACTGTGTGATAGATCCCAGTAGGTCTGGGTTTGTCACAGAGCTTTCCAACCAACTTTTTAATGATTGCTCACTGGAAGGACAGATCCTGAAGCTGAGGCTCCAGTACTTTTGCCATCTCATGAGAAGACTCATTGGAAAAGACCTTGATGTTAGGAAAGTGTGATGGCAAGAGGAGAAGGGGATGACAGAGGATGAGATGGTTGGACAGTGTCTTCGAAGCAACCAACATGAATTTGACAGAACTTCGGGAGGTAGTGGAAGATAGGAGGGCCTGTCGTGCTCTGGTCCATGGGGTCACGAAGAGTCGGACACGACTAAACGACTAGACAACGATATATTTCTAAAACTTTTCAAATTTAATGGCTGAAATTTCTAAAACTTTTCAGATTTAATGACTGAAATGCTGTTGAAAAACCACATGGACATAAATTGTGATGACGGCATCACCCTGCAATCTTATTATTTAATTTAATATAAAGCTTCTTATCCCACTTTCCCAGGTTCTGAAACTCTCTGGGGATCCCTTTTGACCTGGGGAAGCCAGATTGTTGCTGCGAATTCTGATCCTGGTGGTGATGATTCAGCAATAATTTGCTGGTATTTGAGGCTCCCCACCCCCATCCCTAGGCTCCTAAAAGCTCCTCCAGGTCCAAAAGGAGCTGGAGGGGGGCTAGGGAGCCTCAGAACCTAAGGGGGAATAGGAAGCATTAAATTAAATTAAATTAAATTGTAATGCTGTGGGCTGATTGCATAATCAACTGGATTCTGTCCACTTTATTTTAAAATTTGTTTTTTATATTTATTCTTTAATATCGTTTGTGAGCTGCCTTGGAACCCTCTACTGGGAGAAAGGTGGAGGATAATTAAAAATAAAAATAAATAAAACAAGCCTTCAGAGTCTGAAGAATTCAGTAATGTAATGCTAAAAGTGTAAATTGCACTGGTCAATAAGGGCAGTGGTAAATATTATATGAACCACTAAATGAGTAATAAAACACTCCATCTGGAGTTCACATATGAATGATTTCCGGCCGCCAGTGTTACATAGCGCACCCATACCATTTTGATACTGAAAACAAGATTTGATTGAACTCTGGAGCAATCACAGCTCTTGTCCTTTAAAGCTGCTGATAAATAATTGTCGACACTACTGTAAGATAACATAATTTGACTGCGATTGTCTGAAGTATTTGCACATTCAAGGCTAAATAAAAAACACAAACTTAAAGTGAAAAAGAGCTTCTGAACATTCTTTTAGCTCTATTCATTTTAGGACAAACAGCACTATAAATATGTTTACTGAAGAGCTCATAATGGTCAACGACAGTCAACAAGGGACTGAGTTTAATTTTTCTCCCTGGAATTCGCTGCTTGCAGGGAAGGACTTTCTGCCCCAAACCTAAATTTACAATCACTCTGGAAGTACCGTAAATATGTTCACATTCTAGGAACTATCTAAATTCAAGAGCTTGCAGACTTTACAGCTAAAGTATGAAATATATGCCAGAATTCTCCCCACACTTCTGTGCACGTTTGTTTTTTTTAAACTCTCTTAGAGAAAAACATTATGAAAGATGTTGAATACTGAACAAGTTGTAACAGGTCTAATGTTTGTACTTGTTTGCAACATCAGTTGTGTGTTTCCAAACAATGAATTGCTCACAGGCTGAACATTCCATCCAATTCTGGATTGAGAGTTTTGGGGATGGGATGGGGACGGATAGCATGATAGATAAAACATGGTATAGGTCTCCCAACATAAATCAAGGGTGTTACAGAAGCTTGAATGTCATCATAGAAAACTCTGGAGAATGAAACAGACTAGGATTGGGGAAGAAACAACTGTGATACCCCCCCCCAAAAAAAACACAAATCAGTTCATCCCAAGCAACTGTGTCAGTTGTCAAGCCATTTCTGTTGCTTTTATTTTTGTTTTCTGATGCAAGATTTTAGTAGGTTTGTTTGTTTATTTGTTTGTTTATTTAATATCCCGCCTATCTGGTTGGGTCAGGACTACTCTAGGCGGCTAACAACATAGAGTAATACAGAACATAGTTCTGAGCAGAAGCGCACAGGCAGAGTATCCTGCCTGCTTATTTTTTTTAAACGTTGCAAAATGTTAGCAGATTGCCCTAAACTTCTTCCTGAAACAATACAGAAGACCATGTGTGAACCACATGCATGTTGTAGACAGCTCCCTTAGAAGAGTTCTCTTACAATTGTAAAATTGTAGATTGCAGGAGACTCTGGGTATGCTCTCTGTTGCACAGGCAGCTCACAAGTGAATGGCCAGGTAGGGAAGCACACTCAGAACCATGCCGAAGACTTCTCTGTGGCTGTCCATAGAATGAGAAAAGCTACAGTGCTGCTCACTGCCTCTCAGGGCAATTTGTCAACCACTATTCATCTAGTCACTGAGGAGTCTATACAAACACTGTATTCTTGGGCCCTCAGGATGGGATACAAGTGAGCAAGTTTGTCCATTCTAGAAGACTGGAGCATATCCCAAATTGGGAAGATATTTATTGAAAGGTATTTACAAAAGTGTAAACAGACAAGGGATGAATTGGTCAGATGAGACTTGCATGCTTTCCAT